TCCTATATGCTTCCGCAAGTGGCAGTCCATTGGAGTGTAATATTGCACCAATTTCTTGTAGTAGGTGTGCATTGTGCTTATTCAGTCTGTCGATCTTTTTTGAAAGATATGACATAACTGCAACTTCCTTTCCTCAACCCACTTGCCTAAGAAGTGATAAATACTGGTTAAGATTTTTCATACAGCTACAATAGACAGTTTGCACTTTCTTCTCCGAAAAAAAAAAGAATACACTTTTTGCACAAAGGTATATAGCTCCCAGATTGTCACAGCAGATATGCGGAGGCTGTGATTGTGAAACACCCAGTTCCTTTAAGCACCCAAATAAATTATGTGGTTGCAGAGTGTTTCAGGTGCTAATTTGTATTAACATGCCTTTTTATTTTCTTTTTCTCTCTCTTTTTGCCTTTTTTAGGATAGGATTGGAGGTAGGACTTAAACATAAGTCACCAGCTCTATTAAGGGAATGTTATGCCATGTGAGCTACATGCACTCGGCATCCCGTTATTTTTTGTTTCTTTAGTTTTTTATTCTTCTTTTTCCTTGTGGTGGATCTTATCCCTGCTGTAAATTTTTCTCTTTCTTACTAAAATTAGTTCTTCTTTTATATTAAAAAAATCTCGTATAGTCTTTCTTCCATATATTTATTTGCCTCTCTAGTTAGCTATCTACTCCTAGTTTCTTGTTCTTGTCATTTGTTTTATTTTTTAGAATAATAACAAGAGAAATAGTATTAATAATGTTTCAATCTATTCTTTTATTGCTGTGAATATCTTCTTGGTGTCTTTTGTTTAGTGCACTGTCACTGTTCCAGATTATTCAAGTTATGTGCTAATAAAATTGCCATTTTAATTCATAGGCAGAGGCAAAAATACTCAAGGGGCCACATGAGAACCTGGAAAGTTATTTAGAAGCAATTGATCAGCTGAGAAGTAATATTCGTTTTTTTAGCCACAAGAAAGGCTTTAGGAACAGTGATGGGATGCTTAACCATGTGAATAGCTTGCTTGCTAAAGCTATATCAAAGCTGGAAGAAGAATTTAAGCAGCTATTAGCTTCTTACAGGTTTGAACTTTGTTAAACATCAGTTCCTTCCATAATTTGTATATTTATTGGCAGGAAAGGTAATTTGTGCTTAAAAATTGTCCGTTTCAATTATTCTTCATTCACCTTATCTATTTTGTTCTTTCTGGTATGGTTTGATGCGGAACCTCAAGACTCTTGCTTGAACCTTATAACTTTTTAATCGGTTTAGAACAGAATTTAGATTACAAATAAAAAAGAATGAAATTTGTTCAATCATTCAAATGGTAGAAGTTAAATAGAACACAAAAAAGATAAATGATATCTCTTGAACCCAATCCAAACAAGCACCTAGAACAATTGAAATAGGAAATCAAAATTGAAATACAAGTGATAACAATTGTATTCCAAATCAACACCTTGTGCATAAAGTGAAAAAAAAGTCAAAATGCTCTCAACTCAAGTCTGAAATATTTGATTACAACTCTTGATGTCCACAAAGAAGAGTTCATTTGGTATTTATACCCAAATAAATCAATGATAAGTTACAACAATAACTACAATTGTAACTTCCACAATAATTAAGTTAATTATGTGATAATTACAATTGTAATTCCAACAATAAATAAGCTAATTATAGGCATGTAATTGTCATGTAATTCCTTGTAACTCCAATATTCTTAACCAACACCATTAATTATTTGTGGCACCATATAATTATGTACTCATTCTTGTAATAACACTAAGATAAGACTTAAACCGAGTTATACTTGACTATATGGGCTTAATTAACTCAAACTAAAATAAAATAATTCAAAATACTTAAAACAACTTAACTAATTCAGCCCATACATAAGGTTTATTCATCCATTACCAATAAGATTCAAACAAGCCCAAATTATCCCAAATCATTTAAACCCAATTAAAGTTACGAATTTGAGCTATTCAAAAAGTTCATATTTGAACTTTTCACAATTGGCCAGCCCATCATCTATATATTTTTGAGTAAAAACTTGGAGCAATTCTTTAAACTTCTTTGCTTTTGATCTCGTTATTGGTCCACTGAAATTTTTCAGGTTTTGAACTCTATTTGTGTTTACGTCATTTGAAATTTGCTCCAAGTCATATTTTGATGCTCTTTGAGTATCTTGAGTGTTTTTAGCCTTGTTTGCATCATTCCCCTCCCCTCAAAAGGATTCGTTCTCGAATCAATTCCTACATCAATTTCAAAAAGGGGATAAATCAGATATGTTAAACGTAGTCGAAACACTATACTCACCTGATAGGTCCATTTTGTATGCATTTTCATTGATTTTGGCTATGATTTGAAATGGACCATCCCCATGAGCATCCAACTTAGATTTCTATTTTGATGGAAATCGTTCCTTACGCAAATGAACACACACTCAATCTCCAGGTTCAAATGAAATCTTGTGCCTTCCTTTATTGACATGGGATGCTATTTGTTCATTTTTCTTTTCAATGTTTTGCGTTACTTTTTCATGAATTGCTTTAACCATTTTTACTTTCTTATGTCCATCCAAATTAGAAATGTCACTTATAAGAATAGCCAACAAATCAAGTGTAGTTAAGGGATTAAAATCATACACAATTTCAAGAGGAGAAAACCCAATAGAAGAATGTATACTCCGATTATAAGCAAATTTAACAAATGGTAGCATATCTTCCCAAGTTTTAACATTTCTTCTAATTAAATCACGTAATAATGTACCAAGTGTTGTATTTATTGTTTTAGTTTGACTATCCGTTTGTGAATGTATAGTAGAAAATAAATGTTTGGTCCCAAGTTTGGACCATAAAACTCGTCAGAAATGGTTTAAAAACTTAACATCCCTATCGGACACAATGGTTTTAGGAATGTCATGCATTCTAACAATTTCGCAGAAGAACAAATCCGCTATGTGTGTGACATCATTTGTTTTGTAATATGGTATAAAATGTGCAATTTTGAAAAAACGATCAATAACAACAAATATTGAGTCTCGGCTTTTTCTAGTTCTAGGTAAACCCAACAAAAAGTCCATAAAAATATCAACCTAAAGATGTGTAGGAATTTGTAATGGCATATATAATTCATGTGGTTGAACTCTAGACTTAGCTTGCCTACATGAGATGCACTGCGCACAAATTTTCTCAACATGTTTGCGCATATTAGGTTAAAAGAAATGTTCATGCAAAATAGTCAAAGTTTTTTCAATTCCAAAATGTCCCATTAAACCACCACTATATACTTCACGAACAAGCAACTCCCTAATAGAACTATTAGGCACACATAATTTTTTCTTTTTAAATAAAAAACCATTATGCCTATAAAAGTCTTGAAATGCCGCATATTCACAAGCTACATAAACATTTGAAAAATCACTATCATGCAAATACAATTCTTTGAAATGCTCAAATCCCAATAATTTTGTAGAAAGAGTAGAGATAAGACTGTACATTCTTGAAAGCACATCAGCTACCACATTTTCTTCTTCTTGCTTATATTGGATCACATATGGGAAGGACTATATGAATTTTACCCATTTTGTATGTCGTTTATTAAGCTTGTCTTGTCTTTTCAAATGTCTCAAAGATTCATGATCGGTGTGAATCACAAATTTTTTGGGTAACAAATAATGCTGCCATGTCTTTAATGCTTTTATCAAAGCATAAAACTATTTGTCATAGGTGGAATAATTCAATTGTGCACCATTGAGCTTCTCACTGAAGTAAGCAATGGGTCTTTTATCCTACATAAGAACAGCACCTATCCCAAGCCTAGAGGTATCACATTCAATTTCAAAAGTTGAATCAAAATTAGGCAATCTTAATAAAGGCGCATTATATAACTTTTCTTTCAATAAGGAAAACGCATATTCTTGTTCTTTTCTCCAAACAAACCTCTTATCTTTTTTCATGATTTCAATTAAAGGAGCAGCAACGGTGCTAAATTTTTTTACAAATCTCCTATAGAAACTTGCCAAACCATGAAAACTACGCACCTCACTTACACTTTTAGGTGTCGGCCACTCTTGAATAGTCTTTACTTTTTCACTATCTATCTCTATTCCTTTTGCACTTACGACATATTCTAAGAAAATGATGTGATCAATGTAAAATGTGCATTTTTTCATGTTAGCATGTAGTTGAAATTTGCGCAATGTGTCAAACACTTGTCTCAAATGCATGACATGCTCATCAATAGATTTACTATACATAATAATGTCATTGAAGTAGACAACCACAAACTTTCTAATAAATTCACGTAAAACGTGGTTTATTAAACGCATGAAAGTACTTGGCGCATTAGTTAAGCCAAATGGCATAACCAACCACTCATATAACCCTTGTTTTGTTTTAAAAGCAGTTTTCCATTCATCTCCTGGTTTCATTCTTATTTGGTTATAACCACTTTTAAGATCAATTTTAGAAAATACACAAGCACCATGCAACTCATCTAACATATCGTTAAGTCGAGGTATTGGGTGTCGATTTTTTACTGTTATTTTGTTGACGGCTCTACAATCAACACACATACGCCAATTACCATCTTTTTTGGGTACTAAGAAGACGGACACTACGTATGGGCTTAAACTTTCTCGAATGTGCTCTTTTTGTAAGAGCTCCTCTACTTTCCTTTGAAGCTCTTTGGTCTCTTCGGGATTGTTTCTATAGGCTGGTCTATTTGGTATGGCAGCCCCGGGAATGAAGTCAATTTGATGCTCAATCCCTCTCAAAGGTGGTAAACCTTGAGGTAGATTATCAGGAAAGACATCGTTAAATTCCTGCAAAATTTCAACCATAACACTTGATAAAGAAGGGTCAAGTTTGTTAGTTGAGAAACAAGGTTCCTTGTACATGAGTACAATCATTGGCTTGTTAGAAAATAAAGTTTTTCTCACATATCTCATTTTAGCATAAAAGCTCATTTTCTTTCCCTTATTCTTTTCTATGGTCGAATGCACCTCTCTTTCTTTTTCCTTTTGATCTTCATTTTTCCACTTTAATTTTCTCTCACCCTCTTTTCTTTTCTCTTTTTCTTTTTCTTTTCTTTTTCTCTCGGCCTCTCTTTGTGCGAATTCATCATGGGACTTTTCAAGTTGCATTTGGCCTTCAAAAACTTGTTTAGGGGTTAAAGAAAGAAGAGTATACTTTTTGCCTTCTTTTTCTACCATGTACCTATTGAGATACTCATCATGCATTACTCTCCTATCCCATTACCATGGTCTGCTCAACAAGATATGACTAACTTGCATAGGAACTACATCACATGTCACCTCATCACTATACTTCCCAATAGTAAAAGGCACCCTCACTTGCTTATTAACTCTCACCTGCCCACTATTGTTAAGCCATTGCAGTTTATAGAGTTTAGGATGTTTTGTAGTTTTCAAATCCAGTTTATCAACAAATAAGGTACTAGCCACATTTATACAACTTCCCCCATCAATAATCATGCTATACAATTTTTCATTTACTAGACATTTAGAATGAAAAATATTCTCTCTTTGTAACTTAACCCCCTCATCATCATTCCTTACTTGCGTATTCAAAGCACGCCTAAAAACCAACAATCTACCTTCCATAGGTGTTTTCCCATCACTATAATCCTCCAAAGGAGACATTTCATCCTCCACATCACTCTCATCATCCGTTTCAATACCGTCACCACGCATCACCATTACCCTTTTATTTGGGCATTGGGATACAATATGACCTAAACGCAAGCATCTAAAACACTTGATATCTCTATTCCTAGGAGTTTGAGAGTTAGAAATACATTTTTTTTATTATCATTAGCATCTTTTGGCTTAGTTTTGTCATCTCTTTTGAATTGGACAACCTTGTTATTTCCCCTCCAATTCGGCCTCCAATTAGAATTTTGGGCCGAATAAGTGTTGGCTTGCCTTGTGTTCCCCTTTTGCTTTAATTGTCTTTCAATCTTTATAGCCATGTGCACCATATCATCAATCTCCATATAATGTTGAAGCTCTACAATGTTGGCTATGTTTTTGTTAAGACCATTTAAGAACCTTGCCATAGTAGCTTCCCTATCCTCTTCAATATTAGCCCATATAATGTCTATCTCCATCTCTTTGTAGAAGTCTTCTACACTCTTGTTCCCTTGTATAACGCCTTGCAATTTTTGATATAAGTCCCTACAGTAGTGAGTAAGAACAAAGCGTCTTCTCATGATAGCCTTCATTTCGGCCCAAGTGGAAATATGTCTCTCTCTATTTCTCCTTTTACTTGTGATGAGTTGATCCCACCACACAATGGCATACTCTCCAAACTCCACGGCCGCAAACTTTATCTTTTTCTCCTCCGAATAATTGTGGCACTCAAAAATAAGCTTCACCTTGCGCTGCCATTCAAGATAAACATTCGGATCATTCTTGTCTAGAAAGGATGAGATTTTCATTTTGATGCTCCTAATGTTTTTATCAAGATTGTTTTGACTCCTACCATAATTTCGACCTTCATTGACCAAAGTAGTTTGGTCATCAAATTCTTCCTCCACTTCCTCATCAAAAGGTGGTGTTGGAAGTCTTCTTGCCTTTGGATTGGTTTGGGAAGCTTTCCCTCTCGTGGAATTTAACTCACTTTGTTGTTTCTCTAGTTTCTCATTCATGTTGCCAATAGCTAGTTGAATCCTCTCAAATTGTTGTTGCATTGCTTTGATGATGAATTCTTGATCTTTTGATGGTCTTTCACTCCCTTGTGGCTCCATCTTCAATATAAAATTTTAATGACAAACAAAATAGATTGCATCCTTACAAATCACTCCCTCACATGTTTATTCTCGTAGTATGGGCACTCATGTTTCACTCAATTTTGGCTTTTATCCTCTTTTGAGTTCACATTCTCTTGCTTTTTACCACTCAAGCAGTCTTTTATAATTTCATACAGAAGAGCCAATTCAAATAACAATTAATTATCACTATGTACTCAATTTTAATTAGAGATAATAAAGAATTTCTAAAGAAACAAGATACACGAATTCAACTCTAGACGTAAATTAGAATAATCTAAACAATGAAGAGCATATACTTGATATAGAAATAAGTGTATGATGATTTTTATGTAAATTAGGCAACAACGAATCAATATTATTATCTCAAGATGTAATAAGAAGTAAATGGGCAGAAATATTAAATGAAAACTAAAGATGCAAGAAAAAAAAATGGTGAATCTGAAATTTAATGCACGAAACTTGTAATTCTTTAATAAAATCATAAATTATCACCCAAAACACTCAAATTAAGTGCAACAAACAATTTTGGATGAAAACAAACTCAATTGAGGTGAGTTATTTTCAAATAGCCCCAAAAATTACACAAACAATCTCAACCAAATAAACAGACTTGAAATGAGTTTTCTTTTAAATTTTAAATGTATTTTGAATGTTATATGAGATAAATAAAAGGAAAATAACAGCAGGTGTTTCAATTACACAAAATAGGATTGGTTGAAGTTTGTTTTGCACAATTAAGCAAATTAGGCTAATCTTATTTTTTATTTATTTATTTTTTGCTGAATGCAAATTTATCTCTCTTTTTTTTGCAAGAAATAATAAAAATAAAGATAACAAAATAAAGATAGACTAATTTACTTGGTGAACCAATGCTCTGATACCAAATGATGCGGAACCCCAAGACTCTTGCTTGAACTTTAGAACTTTTCAATCGGTTTAGAACAGAATTTAGATTACAAGTAAAAAAGAATCAAATTTGTTCAATCACCCAAATGGTAGAAGTTAAATAGAATTCAAGAAAGATAAATGTTATCTCTTGAAGCCAATCCAAACAAGCACTAAAAACAATTGAAATAGGAAATCAAAATTGAAATATAAGTGATAACAATTGTATTCCAAATCAACACCTTGTGTATAAAGTGAAAAGAAAGCTAAAACGCTCTCAACTCAATTCTAAAATATTTGATTACAACTCTTGATGTCCACAAAGAAGAGTTCCTTTGGTATTTATAAGCAAAAAAATCAATGATAAGTTACAACAATAACTACAATTATAACTCCCACAATAACTAGACTAATTATGTGATAATTACAATTATAACTCCAACAATAATTAGGCTAATTATAGGCATGTAATTGTCATGTAACTTTTTGTAACTTCAATCTTCTTAAGCAACACCACTAATTGTTTGTGGCACCATATAGTTATGGGCTCATTCTTGTGATAACACTAAGATAAGACTTAAGCTCAAATGAGTTACACTTGACTATATGAGCTTAATTAACTCAAATTAAAATAAAACAATATAAAATATTTAAAACAACTTAACTAATCCAGTGCATACACAAGGTTTATTCACCCATTACCAATAAGACTCAAAGAAGCCCAAATTATCCCAAATCATTTAAACTCAATTAAAGTTACGAATTTGGGCTGTTCAAAAAGTTCATATTTGAACTTTTCACAATTGGCCAGCTCATCATCCATATGTTTTTGAGTGAAAACTTGAAGCAACTTTTTAAACTTTTTTGCCTTTGATATTGTTACTAATCCGCTGAAACTTTTCAAATTTGGAACTTTATTTGTGTTTACGTCATTTGAAATTTGCTCCAAGTCACTTTTTTATGCTTTTTGAGTATCTTGAATGTTTTTACCTTTGTTTGCATCATGGTTGTTGATTTTGCAGCAAACCAGTGGAGCCAGACCGGCTTTTTGATGGCCTTCCAAACTCACTGAGACCGTCGTCAGACCAAGGTGATTCGGGTATCAAGAATCATTCCAATAACCACCATGAGCAACAAAACAATGACTTAGATGCAACTTACACACTTCCTACACTAATACCACCACGAATTCTGCCACTTCTGAATGATTTAGCAGAGCAAATGGTTCAAGCTGGCCACCAGCAACAGTTACTCAAAATTTATAGGTGAGAGTTTCAGTGCAATTTTGAGTTATTATCTGTTATCCATTGGCTTTTGGTTTATTTAAAAAAAAAGCAATGGCTTTTGGTGTTTAATCATCGGCCATCCTTTAAAAATGGGTAAATAATTTCGTAATTGATGTATGCTAAGTTTACATAAATTGGATTGTTGTAGATGTTAAAGTGGGTTTTATGATTCTTTCTATAAGGAAAGCACTACAAAATTTCTATTATTTTTCTATTGGAAAGAAATATTAGTAAGATTAAGAAGAGACTGCATCTTTGATGATGGTCTTCGAGTAATTTTAGCTAAATACGAGAGTAAGTTAAAGCATGAAATCGATTTTTATACTCAAGAAAGCCAAATAAAAAAGTAATTCTAATTATCGTTCTATCAGTCTACTAACTAGTTTCTATAAGATCATTACTTAGTGAGGTTTTAGAGGACACAACTTAACTGAACCAAATTGCTTTTGTTGGAGGTCGGCAAAGTGATTCTTTATGGTTCTTTCTATTACAAAAAATCACAATTTTGTTTTTTACTTTTTTTGTAGGAAAGGAAACATTAGTAAGATAAAGAAGAGACTACATTATAAAAGTAGATTTAATGATGTCTTTTGAGGAATTTTATCTAAATGGGAGAGTAAGTTAGAGCATTAACCCAGCTTTTATAACCCTCATACTCAAGAAAAGAAAATAAAAAAGGATATTGATTATCATTCTATTAGCCTAGTAACCATTGTCTATAAGGACATTACTTTGGAGGACACAACTTAACTAAATAAATTGCTTTTGTGGGAGGTTGGCAAATTTTGAATGGAGAACGGACTAATGGAGCATATGAATAGGGCAAAGAAGGAAGTACTGGTCCTTAAATTCGATATTGAGAAGGCTTATATTAGGGTGATTTGTCCTTTTTAGGAGAAAGGATGGATAGAAAAAGAGTTGGTGCTAGATTATGAAGATGAATATTGGATGTTCCTGTGCAGCCATAACCAATGGAAATCCATAAGAGTGGTTTGCAAGTTCACAGTAAGAGGATACCCTCTTTCGTTGTCTTTATTTAGCATGGTAGTGGATGTATTGAGTCTAATGTTATCCAGGGGTTTAAAAAGAGGGAGGATAGAATAATTTTTTGTCAGAAATGATACGAGTAAAGGTGTCCCATCTTCAATTTGGGGATAATACGATTTTATTTATTTCACATAACTATAGATTAATCACTATGCCCTGGCGTTTGTGCAATTGTTTGAGCACCTCTTAAGACTTTGTATAAATTTGGCCCAGAGTGGATTGGTAGGAATAAATGCGCAGACAAGACTGTAGGTGACCTAGTTGAGGCAAGCTGATGTCTAAGTTAGCTTGGTCAATCACCTATTAGGTGTTCCATTGGTTGGAAATCCTAGAAGTAAATTTTTTTAGGATGGGGTGGTTAAAAAGTGTCTATAAGGCTAGAGAGTTGGAACTAATATTTGTTTTCTTTAGTGGGTAGAGTCACACTAATTCAGTAATGTTTATCTAGTCTTCTCTATTGCTTGTCATTGTTCAAGATACTAGTAGGGTTAGTTGAGAGATTGAAGGGAGTAATGAGAAGTTTTTGGGCAGGGCTAGTGGAGAGCACATAGATTATTTAGTTAATTAGGAGGTATTTTATCGGTCTAAAACTTTGGGAAGTTTAGGCGCGGCAAATAAGAAATTAAGGAATTTGTCATTATTGGTTAAATTGTTATAGCCTTTTCTGTAGGAACTTACTTTCTTGTGGCATAGAGTGAACAAAAGCATCTATCAAGTTAAAGTTCCATCCAATAACAGAATGTAATGCACCAAGGGTATGTTAGAAATAGGTAATTAATATATAAAGCAAAAAGGGAAACTTACACACAGGGGTAATTAGTCATTTCACGTGTACAAATTAAAGTCAGAGTTTTGGGTTAACCGAATTGACCAAGGAAGATCACCTCAGATCCCTTCCCCGTCGCTGCAGCCGCAACATCTGAGCAGTTTCCACTTGCTTTTGTCGCTCTCCTCCTTATCATTTATAGACTATAAATAGATGTTTCTTTTACGAACGTAATCATAGATAAATTATTGAAATCAAAGTATATTTTCCTTCAAATGTAGCCGATTCTTAGCTTTCTTTTTCTCTCTCTACTTTCTCTCTCTTTCTTCCTCTTTCCTCCAGATTTGAACCATGTATCAGGTTTGTGATAAGGTGGTATCAGAGCCGCATACCAGATCCAAATGGGATGTGGTGGTATTCAACCAGATATGGCCAAATTCAGAGGTAAAATTATGAGATTCAATGACAACTGAACTTGTTGGTGGACATGATTCACGACAGAGCTCTCATTGGAATCACTTCCTCTTCCCTTTTGCTGCGCGAAGAGAATGAAAAAGAAGGGATGAATTGGCTTTTAAGGGAGAAAAACCTAAAATCGGTTTAGTGATTAAATTGTTTGATAAAACCCTAAAGCTGTCTGGTTTGAACCAGATTGGATCACTGAACCGGACCAGTTCATACCCCACTCTTGAAGACGAAGAAGAAGGGGAAAAAGAATAAGAGATAGAAGAAGAAGAGACTAAAGAAGAAAAAGCAAAAGAAGAAGAGGTTAAAGAAGAAGATGTCGCCAGACGAAGCAATTGGCAACAACGGCAAGCGTGGTGTGGGGCATCAAGGTGATGGTGTGTGAGATCTTTGTGCTATTTTTACATTGCCCATCATGCTGATTGCAAGTGATCTTACTCAATGTCTTACGAGTGGCAGCAGAGGAGCTGGTCATGCCTTCACTTTAAACAATCAAGATGAAGACGAAAACTTTTGAGAAAGAGATGGAGAGACGGAAGGCAGATTAATTTAAAATAATAATAATAATAAAAATAAAAAATAGATTAATTTTTAGAGAGAGAGAGGAGAATGAGTGAAATGAGGACGATGATGAAAGTGACAAAGAGAACAACTGTCGATTTTTTTTTTTCTTCTTGAAAAAAAAAAGAAACAAAAAAAAAACTATCTTGAAAACCAGATATATGAGGGGTCAGCAAGTCTTTGGCATCATATAATGGGATGGTGGATCTCAACGTTGGGGGTAAGGTTGATGTTCACGGGGTAGGTATTATAAGGTAGAAAGGGTAAGTTAGGAAGTCGGTAAATAATATGTAGGGGTAGAAAGGAAAATTTACACACAGGAGTAAATTAGCCATTTTGCATGTAGGGATTAGAGTTAGGGTTTTAGGTTAACTGAATCAACCAAGGAAGATAACCTCAAGGCCCTTCCCTATCACTGTTGCCGCAACATTTGGGCAGTTTCATCCGCCTTTGCTGCTCTCTTCCTTATCATTTATAGCTTATAAATAGACTTTTCTTCTACGAACGTAATTATGGAAAAAATTACTGAAATCAAAATATAATATTTTATTTCAAAATCTATTTTCCCATCATGCTTCTTTCAGATGGTATCAAATGGGGACAGGTTCCTTTTCATCTTGACAATAATGGCTCAAGCATGAAAAATTCAAATCACTAACATGGAGAAACACTCTTGTTAGGGGACAACTAACTACAGAGTTGCTCAAAAGTTGAAGATCTTAAAAGCAGAAATTAAAAATTGGGCCAAAGTCACTGATAAGCAAGAAGAGGACTTTTCAGGTATTATTGATGAAATTGATAATCTTGACAGGTTGGAGGCTGAAAACCACTTATCCCCTCAAGACAAAGAGAAACGAAGCAATCTGAAATTTAATCTGACACATAAACTTCATCTAGAAGCAATTTCTTGGAAACAAAAATTTAGGAAAAAATAGCTCAAAGACAGGGATAAGAACACAAAATATTTTTACATGTTGGCCAATCATTGAAGAAGGATCAACTTCATTGATGAACTCGACGTTGGCGGATACATTCTCAAATGCAATAATGAAATGAGAGATGGGGCAAGTAAGTACTTTCATAAGTTATATACTGAGAATTCTTCCTCCCGTCCCCGACTTGATGATCTTCATTTTAATAATATTAATGATAGTGACTGATATCTATTGAAAATGAAATTCACTAAGACAGAAATTTATGACTGCCTTCGGGATCATAATGATGATAAAGCCCCAGGGCCAGATGATCAATCTTAAATTCATTCAATCTTTTTGGGATGTCATTAAGTAAGACATCATGATTTCTTTATTGATTTCCATAATTATGGTTCCTTTGTAAGATCACTCAATTCTACTTTTCTTGTTATGATATTGAAGAGGACTAATCTGGAAAACATTAGAGACTATCGGCCTATTAGTCTCACTGAGTGCATCTATATTTTCAAAGATTCTGGCTAAAACATTATTTACAATTATTCACAAGATAATTGGTGACTCACAGAATATAATTGATGACTCAGAGAATACTTTTATTTATGGTAGAAAAATTCAAAATC